ATTTCCAATACGATTACGTTGTTGTCTTATTTGATGTTTAAGAAAATCACGTAATGTATGTAAAGTTTTAAATGTTGATTGATTAACACGTGTAAATTGATTTCGTCCAGGTAAAATATCAATAGCTGCTAAAGCACATGCTTTACCAACATCACGATAATGGTCAATAGTAAATTTTGGTGGTAAAGAAAATGGTGTTGCAGGAGATATTCGACCACCATGTGCATCATTTTCAGCTGCTGATATTGAATTACATGATTTACCAACAGCATATGAACATTCAAGTGTATAAGAATGTAATATACCAAAATGTTTATTAAGAGCAACACGACCACTACCTTCTTTAGATAAACCTTCACGTTTATCTTTCATATACATATTTTTTATTGTAAAATTACAATTTTCAAAATCAAAATGTGGAGAATTAAGGGAGATTAATTTTGCAAAAAGAACATTATCAGTATGTTGATCATCATCAGGTAAATGATTACCATAAACAAAACAACCTTGAAAATAGATTTCAATGATGATTTTTATTTTTATTTATTAGAATTTGTACCTTTTTTTGATGCATGACCATGTAAATCTATATAATAAGCAATACCACTTTCATAAGGAGATATTTTAAGAAGATCTGGATTTGCTAAATGTGGTGATTTAACTTCATGAACACCATTTTCATTAGTTTGACCTGATGAAGGCATATCATCATCATCATCTGAACCTTCATTACCTTTTAAAATATAAATTAAAAAAACAAAAAAAAGACTAATTCAAGATATTCAGAGAATTATGTGATAATAAGAGAATGAATTTAAAAAGTGCTCATGAGCTAAATTTCATCGAATAGAGTTTTATTTGAGGAAGGGTCATGTATATATATATATATATATGTGATGCGCTGAATCAATTATAAAATGACTTATGAGTGTCTCTTGTGATATGGTTTAGGTTTGCTTGAGAGCGTCGCTTATGGACAAGCATTGTAGCGCATCTTCATCTATGTAAATTTTCTTTCCTCATGAGTCATTGCACCAGAGAAACGACCGAATTGGTAGGAAGTTATGTAATCGAAGTTTAGACACCTGCTCAAAACCTAGTCCATCCTATTATACTTAGAAATCCAAACTTTTAGACCTACTAGAGCGTTTTCTATAGAGAAATGAGTATTTGCTTCGGAATTCTATTAGTCGACCATCAACGCTACTCTTTTAGAAAAAAATCAATTTCTCGAAAACGGCTTGTCCTACATGCGTAGAAAATTCATCTTTCATATTGCCCATATAAACTGTTTTTCTTTTTGAAAAATTACTTTCTGGAACTTAGGTCTAAAGATTTTGCTCACAACTTTTTCGAAGAGATGACTTCTCTCTCTTTATCAAATGATACGAGAAAAAATTAAGGACCTATGAAGTACGCGTTAGAGGACTTTTAATAAATTTAATTCAAGTTTTGCCTAATATGTTTGCATTTTCGTGTTGATGATAAGGTTTTATGTTCGTAGCAGTAGAAATTCATTTCTTTCAGAAACAGTTGTCTAATCACGAATTGGTAAGGAAAGAGGCTAGAATTTATAAGATGAGGGGATCCCACCATAATGAAAAGCAAAGACAAAGAATCGAGCGAAAAAAAAAATACTTTTTTAGCCCTCAACATTTTTATATTCCAAGGGTTGATTTCCCAATATCTCTTAATCGATTTTTTTTACATCTGTAGTCCCACGCAGACTGTATGAAAAATTCTTTTATCAATACTATATCGATTTATTACATGAAATAGGATAAACATCACTGACTGATTATGGAAAATAGTAGTTTATCTAGCGTAGGAGTCGAGAGTAGTTGACGCCTGTGTGAAGAACGGATTGACCCTCTCGAAGTTTGTGGTTATTGTATCGCGTACTATGTGTTTGTGCTTTCTGAAAATATATGTTTATCCTTCTTGGAGTTTGAAACCATCCCTACGGAAGAGAAAATCTAGATAAAATACAAGTGAAAATCGTTAATATTTCTCATGTACTATTTGAAATGATGAATACTTACAAATTGAATTAATAGTTTTATCTTATCGAAATGAAATCATTTGAAATACGAATGATCTTCATTATTATATTTAACAAGAAAAGAAAAGAAAACATTTCCTTTTTTTTAAAAATTATGTATTAACTCTAAATAAAATCGTAATGTTCAAACAAGCCAAAAGAAAATTAAACAAGCTAACAGAGATTTTTAAAAAAAAATCGAAGTAACAATAATTCTTATTGTAATCACTCCGGAATTTTCACATTAAATTAACATTATTCATTTATATCTCAACATTTCCGAATAGTTAAAAACATCTTTAATTTTAGTGCTAAACATCAATTAATATTACAGTTAAAATAGTACATTGACAAAAAAAGAAGTTGTCGATATTTTTTTTTTCTTCTCACTATTCTCAGATACCATGTAATCGTCTAACTCTTTATTTCCTTGAAAATATACTTTCTTAAAATTATTTTTGTAATATGATATCAATATATCATATTCTAATTGTACTAAGAAAAATTTTCAAGTTATATAACGCTTTAAGTCTTAGATTTAAGTTTAATTACCTTTTATTTGATTTCGAAGATTTCCTTCGTCTTCATCATCATCATTATTATTAACAATAAATAAATCTTGATGAAGTTCTAAATTTTCATTAATATAACGAAATGCATATGGAGATGAACGTTGCATTTCTAGATCATCAATTTCTGTTGTTACAGCTTGTATTAAACCATTTTCACTTCGTTCAATAAAAAATGATCCATTTTCATCATTAATTATTTGTTCATCTAAAGATAAATTTTCAAAAGTATTATTATTTGGTTGTGTTGAATTTATCATTGTTGTTTCACAAAGAATTTCTTGTTGAAATTGTGTTCGTCTTGGAGTTGATTTTCCCTATTATATTATCAAAAAAAAAAAAAAAAAAAACAACAACAAAAAGTTAAAATAATATTTAAAAGTAAAATAAAATCAATTCAATCTCTACCTGAAATTGACTATCATTTAATATTTGTTGATTATTTAATTGTTCAGATGGCATAACATCTTTAAATATATCATAAACAGATAATGGTGATCGTGGTGATACACAATTATTAATATGATGATAAGCAATTAGACTTTTAGCAGCATAAATTGATGGATGTTTTTCAAAATCTGGATCAAGATACATACGATTTAAATTTACACCAAATTGATCGGTACGATAATGACCACGTTGTACACCATCAGGATTAAGAATTGGTATAAGTTTAAAAATATATGAATCACGTAATAATTTTGCACGAGGATCATCAATTTTAAGAATAAAATCCAAAAAACCAAGAAATACAAATGCAGCTGGTGTTTCACCGGGATGTACACGACTTGAAAGAAAAAAAATACGTTTATTACGAAATTGATATGGACGTTTATTTATTGTTGATGCATCAGGAAATAATTTTTTATCAAAATGATGTTCACGTTCTTTCGTTATACCTAGAATTAAAATATATACTATCAAAAAAAAAAAAACTTTCTTTTACTAACGACTCAGAATTCAAAAAACGCTTGATCAATTGAAAAACATTCTCTCATAAAAACTAGTGTGAATTATAATATTGTTTTAAGGAAAAAGTATCAAATTTATTACTCAAAACTGATTTGTATTTAATCAGTTGAGATTGATTACCTTTATAAGAAGTTATTGTAATTAAATCAATTTTATTTGAATCACATGAATAACATAATGTTTCACGATGATAATAAATATCTGAATTATTTACTGGTAATGATGGATGTTCTAAATAATAATCAGCTAAACGTGAATTATATAAATTATCATATGTATTAAGTAATTGTTGCATATCTTCATATGAATGTGGAAAACAAAAAGCAAAATAAGTTATAGAATTTTTTAAATCAGCTATACGATGAACAAATGATAATTTAAAATCTTCATTAATTGTTTCCCAACAAGGACGTATATATATTCTTGACCATTTTTCATGTCCAGGTACAGTTCGAAAAACTGGTAACATACCCATTTCAAATAATTTACCTTGTCGATTTAAATTCATTATATTAAATCGAATACATTTTCCATAACCACCTTTAACACCAAAATAAAACCATGAACGATTTCCATTCATTCGAGGTGTTCCTTCACAATCACGTTTTGTCCAAACATTAAATTCAATATCATGTTTTGGTAATGTATGACTTATAGTATTTAATCCATTATCTGCTCCAGAATTATTATTATTATTATTAGTAGTAGTAGTAGTAGTATTAGTATTTGTGTCTGTTTCAATTGGATTTGTTGATGGTTGAGAAGAAGATGTGGATGATGTTACACGTTCATATCGTAGTATATTGCCGGAATCAAAATTTGCAAATAATTGAATCGAAGAAGAAGAAGAAGAAGAGGAAGAATTAGTAGTACTAACATCGTTAGAATTCATTTTCTTTTTTATTTTTGTTTTCTATTAAGACAATGACAATATTCATAGTAGATCTTCCATCGTAGTGTTCTTTTTCTACGGAAACAACCTCTATTAATATTTAATTGAAATAAAACTTTTTAGTTTATTTTATATGTTTTTTTTCTAATTTGTTAAATTTAATAATAAAAATTCAAGAATATATTCTTTTCTTTCAATCACTGTTACAATAGAGGGCGATAGAAAACATCATTATACGCAGTTATATTTCAACAACCAACCAAAAGTGGGTGTGTCCCATATATATCATGTGATAATATTTTTGACATTAGGAATATCCTCTATTATAGATTTACTTTAGATATTAGTAAAGAAAAACAAACACAACAACAACATTTCTTTGATTTCTTATATGGCTTGTCGTTTTTCGATTAATTTCAATAAGAATTACATGTTAGGCAATTTCAAATCAATTTATAAGTCGTTATCATCATTAAAAAGTTTTCGTTGTTGTTAAAAAAAAAACTAAAACAAACAATTTTTCAAAATGAAATTACTCGAAAATTCTAAATTAGAAGCAATTAGTTCAACACTTTCTATTGATACACTAGTTTGTGATATCACAACTCGGTAAATAAATAAAAAAAAATTTTTTTGTTTTTTATTAAAAACTCATTTTTTATTTTTTTTTTCGATAAATTTAGTGTGGAAAGTTATTCATGTAAAATGGCTGGTGATCCAAAAAAATTATATAAACAATTAAGAAATGAACCTGGTACATCACCACATGATCTTGAAATTCTTGGACCATCACAAACAAAATTATCATCATCATATAATTCAAATTTTTTAACAACATCACCACAAATTTTACATCCATATCCAATAGCAAGATCAATATCAAGTGATGATGAATCACCATTAGTTAAAACAATTCCACGAAAAACACTTATTTTTTTAATATCAACATTAAATGCAACATTTCAACCTGATTATGAATTTAGTTCTTGTACAAGTCAAGATTTTAGTCGAGAAACTAATTTTGAAGTATATATATATATATATTTCTAAAGAATAATTCATTTAAATTTAATTATTATTTTATTATTATTTAGTTAGTTAAAACTGAAGTAGATTCTCGATTTCTTTCAAGTATAGGTGATCATTATCGATCATTATCACCACAATTATGGTCAGTAATTGATGAAGAAATAAATATAAAAGAAAGTGAAATATTTAGGTAAAAATGAATCATATAAAAATAAATTTTATTCATTTTTCTTTTTCAAATAGTTATCGTCCTGATGATACATCAGATCCATTTTCTGAAAGTGGAATTATTTGGTCATTTAATTTCTTTTTTTATAATCGAAAACTTCGTCGAATTCTTTATCTTACATGTCGAGCTGATTGTAAAACATCAACAAATGATGATGATAATGATGATGAACCGTTAGAATCAAATAATTATGTAACATTCGAAGGGTAAAAATTAATAAAAAAAAAAACAAAATATCAAAAAAATTTTATTCACTTTTTTTTCAGTGTTATGGATTGATAATTCATCCGGTTCTGTACACAAAATATTATCTATACGCTATGAACTATTGATGCTTTTTTTTGTTCCTTCATATTAACTTTTTATAGTTTCTTTTCTATTTAGTTTGTTTTTCTCGCTTGTCCTTGTTTGTACATTATGTTCTCTACTGTTCATGTATTAAAACGAAATTGCATTGTTCTCGTCGTACATTAGCTTAGTAGTCTTTTTTTTTTGTTATTCAGACATACAAGGTTGTATATAGTTGTCAAAATATTGAACAAAAAAAAAAGTGTCCCTCGTTTCAAAAAAAGTTTATTATATGTTGTATGTAGATAGAATGTGAATAAATATAACTAAAAAAAAAAAAAGAAACAAATTTTGTAAAGTTATAATAATCGAAAAGTATATGAAAAAGAATAAATACAAATGTGGAATTTAAGATACTTCAACAATTATGACTATCCGACTATCAATAGAGAGAAAAAAAACCAGTTCATCTAAATAAAGATATTCTTCTTGTTGAATCGATTGTCCACAAACAATATGAAAATAGACAAATCCAAGCAGATAACTGATTTTTTTAGAAGATGCATCCTTAGTAATAATAGTCTACGAAAACCAGAACAATATGGTTTTTTATCATCACTTATACTACGAAAAATGTTGAAGAGCTGATCATTATCGATACTTGCCTTAATCACCAATCTAATGGTATACTTATCCATATTTTTTTGGTGTTCTTTGTTTGTTGATCGTCATTGATATATTGAAATAGTTTCAATCGAAATAATTCAGTAATAAATGTGCGTAATTGTTTGTTCTCTATTGAGATCAAGGATTATCAAAAGAAGATTTATGAAAAAAAAAAATTAAGAAAGTAGTATCAATCAATATGTTTCTTTAGCATTTGTTGATTATAATTGAAGTGATACGAACTAAATGGAAATTTTCTTCGTTATCAATATTGATTCTTTGATTTCATTCAATTTATTCGATTTTCTTGATGATATTAGTTATTTCAAACATTCATAATAATAAATGTTTTTCTCAAAATACAGTATTTTTTGCATTGTTCAAATAACACCAATTGAAAACAATGATGATCAATACTGGGAAATAGAACTAGAGCTAACATCCCAATCGTCGTATCGTAAACGTCGAAATACGACATGTATACAATCAACGTGAACGATCGTACACGGCTACATATGGCGTAATATGCTACCATATTCATGTATGTTTTATTTTTTTATTTGAAAAAAGTACTTACTGTTTAACATGTTGTTCGAATTGATCTAAATAAAAAAATTAAAATTGTTTATTTCAAAAAAAACATATATATATATATATATATATCATTGTATTTGTTGCAGAATTCAAAATGAAAAGGTTCGGTGCTCGATACGTGCAACTAGACTGACTATTAACTTACGATCGAATCCATTCGCATACTACAGTTGTTTACATTCATGGTATGCCATCGTGCATTTTGAATCTCGGTGATGGTAATGATCTGAACTTCATGCTTTCGCTGATCAAATGCAACAAAAAACTTAATGATTCATAGTATGACATCGACTTGGTCAAGTATGTCTTCAGTTAGGTAATCTATATTAATTTGAACAAGTATATGAAACTGTACTTGTTTTAGCATCTGAATGTGTTGATAAATGGCATTTTTATCATTAGCTTGGAATGATCAAACGATAGCAAAGTGACTATATATCAACATTTTCATTTTACAAAGACTCAACTAAAATTTTTGAAAAAAAACACTTCAGAATAATAATTCCTGTTTAATTACTTCTTATAACAGTGTTGATTTAATAAGTTGAAAAATGAAATGAATATTGACCTGTATAAGAATTTAGAAAGACAAAATATTATTTGTAACGAAAGATAGTTATTTCGTAATAATGATCATTTATTGATTTTTTTTAGTTAATTTTATTACATTAAACTGCATTTAACCACATATATTTGACTATTTTTACTTATAATATTAGAAAAATAAACCGATATATTTCAATATTAAAAAGAGATACCATCTAAATTATTAAAAAAAAACACTTCATAACGATATTCTTCTTAGTACAAACTATTATTTTCTTGAATTTTATCAAATAATTATATCAATAATCAATTCATTTCATTAGAATTCCATATATATTCAATTATGAATCAATCAATTAATCAGTAATCAACTATACATAATTTTATCTATGAAAAAAACAGAAAACATTTCACTAAATCACAATTATTTAATATTACTTATAAAAAAGAAAAATTCTAAATATAAAACGAATCACAAATTAAAATCTCATTGTCTTTTTCATTTCATTCAAGATGCTTCAGTACGCAAAAATATTCGATAGAGTAATTGAGGACATAAACGACGTAAATAAATCACAATAGATGCTAAATGACCAACATAGATTTCATGTTTTCTAGCAGCAATACCATGAAGTATATCATATGCACATACAGTTGGATCTGTTCCTTTTTCAGTTTTTGGATCCATTTTATTATGTAATTGTCCAGAACCTTCTAAAGCATTTATTGAAATATTGGTTTTGACAAAACCTGGACATACTATTGTTACATCTATATGATCTTTAGTATGTTCTAATCGAAGTGCATCAAAAAATGCATGTAAAGCATGTTTAGAAGCGGCATATGACGAACGTAATGATGTAGCAGCATAACCAGCTACTGATGTAACAACAACAAAATGACCTTTTTGACGTTGAATGAAATGCTAAAAAGAGATTTAATATTATTCACATAAAATCAAAACATGATTTTTTTTCTTCTTCTATGTACCGATAAAACAGCTTTAGTTAATGTAATTGTACCCAAAAAATTAACACTTATTAATCGTGTATCAACTGCATATTTTGTTTCTTTGATTAAACTTCGTTGTGATATACCAGCATTATTAATTAAAACATCAATCTGATTAAATCGATCAAGAACAATATCAACTTTTGATTGAAAACCATATTCATGTGTTTCAAGATCAAGGGGTAAAACAAGACATTGATCTGGATTAACTGGAAGTTCAGCAACAAGTGAATGTAATTCATCTTCACGTCTGGCTGATAGAACAAGACGAGTAGATGGTGAAAGACGAACTAATTCTTTTGCTAATTCACGGCCAATACCTGATGATGCACCTATATCATAGGAAAAGATAATAAGTTTAAAAAAAATATTCTTTACATCCGAAATCTGAGTACGAATATTTAATACGGCTTTTACTTCTATAAGTTATCTTTCGGGGAGATATGGGAATCGTCAAGGCTAAAAATGGTCAGAAGTTTCCCATACTAGAAGCGTCGTCAAAAAAAAACGTATTATTTTCCATGGTGCTAATTTTTTAAAGGCTGTCGAATTTCGTAGGAACAATATTTTGAAGAATAAAAACATGCACGCGCTCCAATTCGACCAAAGTACTCATGAAAAATTTGAATCCGATCAGACATACCATGTGGAAAAAAATGAAGAAAACTTCGATTTTTCTTTGTTCAAAAATTGATTTTGAAAAAAAACCGGAAAACAAACGTTCCTGTACGTATCAAGACTTTTTTCTCCAGCAAAAGCGATCGAAAACTGACCGTGTTTAGTGGTGTCTGAAGTCCATGATCATGCTCTCAGCATCTTTGGAACAAAAAAAAAATACTCATCATGACTAGGAGAATTTTGTATATAAAAAATAATTGTAGCATGAGTTTTTCTGTTAGAGATTTTGAGAGTTGAATCTAATAAAAGTGCTAACGAACAATGAAGAGATCTCATTTATATGGCATATGGTAGAGAACACTTCAAAGCTATATTAGCGATGAAAAACTAAAAATCCAAAAAATTTTCAATTGTAACATCGAGTAAATTTTCTGACGATGCAAAAAAAATTTATCGAATTTCAAACTTGTATTTTATTTATATATAATTACTTACTTACCAGTTATCCAGACAACGTTATTTTTAAAATAATTCTCAATATTATTATGTAAAGGATATATAAAATAAGCAATAATTGCGATAATACCCAAATAAAGAATAATTTGAAAGAAAATGTTTAGAAATTCGTTCATAGTTCTATAAATAAAAGAAAAACATGGATATATAATTATTTTTTTAATTTTTTAAATCGAAATGAATATTAAAAAAAATTAAAAGATGCCAAAAAAAAACAAGTTTATTATGAAAATTGTTAATATATGAAATCAAAAATATAAATATATGACATTCTGATATCATATCTCAATACTCAAAATTGACCTTTAAAAATTTTATGAATTTCATCATGTTAATTTTATGTAGAATCATTTCAATTAATTATTAATGAGAGAATTGAATCTATAATAACAGGAAAGAAAACTAAGTTACTTCAAGAAGACAAAAAGATCGTTATTTTCAAAATTGAAAAGATACTTGTAGCTCAAATAAAGATTATTCGTACATTGAATTGTAACTTTGTTAATTGATGAATGAAATAAGAACTAAGATAAAAATTCTAATGTTTTATAGTTTACTTAATAATTCATTTTTAGTGGAGGGTAAAAACCACAAAACTTAAACGTGTTCGATTTGTTACATAAAACAGCCAGTGATTATCTAATTAAAAAATCTAGTTCATCATTTATATAGATACTTTAATTCGATGATATCTTATAGCTTTATTTATGTATAGGAAAGAGCATCAACCTTGATATCCATTGTAATCAATACTATTTATCCATGGTTTTTTTTTTCTTTTTAAATTTTATCTTAACTAATACAAGCGCCCTCTTTCATATTGATTTAATGCAAATAGAAAAAAAAAACTTGTCAACATTCTTCTTCAATACATTTTATTTTTTTAGTTCCATGTCATTGTTATCATTGTAAATTCAACGTTTTGAAGTGTGTAAAAATGATAATGAATTTGATACAATTTTGATAACTAATTTTGCATTTTCTTTTTTCATAGCTTCTTGATATATCAGAACGAATGCATGTCAGTTTGTGAATTTGTT